TTAGTTATATATAATCAAAACATATGCTCTATGTATCAAGCAAGGCTTAATTCACAATTCACAGTTAAAGATCATAACTACTGTAAGATCCTAGAAGGTTAATTATATCTTTGTAATGACCACACACCCCCAGCCACTACCTCCACTACTCAGAACAGTATTTTTCACATTGACAATGTGCAGTGAAAGATTAAATACATAATTTTATACTTATATGATATTGTATTTAAACGACAAAACACTCAATATATACTTTCATTTTATTTGTTTAATAAAGGTACGAAATGTAATATTTTGTTTTGGGTTCATATAATATTTGATATGTGATAAAAATGTAATTCCATAGAAAGAAATCTATATAGACATCTCTAGATGTTTCATGACTTTAAAACATTTAGGGTTATTGCAGTACTTATAATAATAATAATATTTACAAAATATTTATTATAAACCAGACATTTTTAAATTCCTTATATATATTAAATGATTTTATCCTTCTAATAATCTAATGAGATGGGTACTACCAGTATGCCCTTCCCTTGTGCAAATGGGGATTAAGATCTCACAGCTATAAAATGTCTTATAACATTGATATTAAGGAAACCCACATTTAGATAATTGATTAATTCACAAAACCTAATGTATTTATTTGAAATATGAAAAAATATAATTGAAATTAACATGATGGATATTTAGAACTCTACCACTATGTTGTGAAGATTTTAAGAAGAAAAATTATATAGATATCAATTTTGAAAACAATAACTAAATTGATCTTTAACAACAGAAATCATCACCAAGGTTTATATTTTTAGAATTAAAATATAGTAGTAGTATTGGATAATTTCAATATTTTATAAAATGAATCAAAATGTAATGCTGAAGTCTTATGATAAACTAATTCTTACTATATGAAATATAAAAATTATAATATAAAATAGGAATTATGTATTAGTAGACATTCTCTATCATAATGGATCCAATCTTTGATTTTTCATCTTTGGAACAATATTAGGAAAGGATAGGCTCTAATTTATGGAATAAAGTATCTTTCTACACAGCTTTATTGTAATCTATGCCTCTTTTATTAATAAAAAATAGTTACTAGGTACACTTATACCTTTAATTTAGACATTCATATGTATTTCTATTTTCCAAACTGTGAATATTAATTTTATGTGTCAACGAGTGGGCTAAGGGATGCCCAGATAGCTGGTAAAACATTATTTCTGGATATGTTTGTGAGGGTGTGTGTGGAAGAGATTAAATCCATTTAAATCAGAAGACTGAGTAAAGATTATATGCTCACCCTCATGAAGTGGATGGGCCTCATCCAATCTATTGAGGGGGGACTGGAACCAAAAGGTTGAGAAAGGGCAAATTCACTCTCCTTGGGCTGGGACATCATCTCCTGCCTTCAAACATCAGATCTCCTTGTTCTTGGGTCTCTGGATATAAGAACTTATACCAGTACCTACTCTCCTCAGGCATTTGGACATGGATCTTGAACTTGGAGTTATACCATCTACATCTCTAGTCCTCAGGCCTTTGGACTAGGACTAAATTACACCATTGGCTTTCCTGATTCTCTAGCTTGCAGAAAGTAGACGGGACTCTTTGTCCTCTATAAACACATAGGCCAACTCCCTTCATAAATATCAATGTCTCTCCCAATAGATAGCTGATATTGATATAGATACAGTTATATCTCCCACTGATTCTGTTTCTCAAGAGAACCCTAATAAACTAAGTATCTCAGAGTAAACTTCCTAATATTAATTCACTATGTTTGTTAGATAGGATTGCATATCTTGTATTATACTGCATTATCAAGCCCTAATGATCATCTAAGCCACAGCACACACAAAAAGACATATATGATATTCAAACCCAATACTTGGCATCTGAGAAAAGCAAATTTTTCCAATCTCTAATTGTGCTTATTAAAGTAAAGTAAAATGAAACCTAATATACAATAGTACTTTTTTGTCATAACATGCAATTTTGTCCTAATTTTTAATTAAAGGGTACTCCACTATAGAAAAGATATTTGATATGAATACTGGAGTGCCTATATCTAAGTCCAGTAAAAATTATGTAACAAATATCTGATCCATCATGTACATATTAAAATGAGTTTTTAAAACAACTTATTGGGGGCTGAGATAAACACTATCTATATCAACTTGGTGAAATTCTAAGTCTTTCACAACATGGCTTAGCCTATGATTAAAGTCTTATTTCCCATTGCATGCCCCCACTCCAGCCAAATAATTATTCCCCCTGCATCCCTATACTTCAAATGATTCTCAAAATTTCTAAAACTTAATGCATACATTTAATATTTTTTTTTGTCTTTTCTCAAGCCTTTCCCTTCACCTAGAAGGTACCTTCTACATTTTTTTCTAGCCCATATGTGTTTCCATCCAAATAGTTAATATGTTACTTCTTACTCCCAATTTTCTTTGACTAGAATTATTTTGTTACTTATTCTTTCATAAAACATTACTCAAAACTATCTGAAAACACTCTCTTTGGCCTAATGATTGTGAAAAATTATCTCAGTGCAGCAAGACTCCTTGAGGGTAGAAAAATATGTCTTAAGCACACTAACAGGGAACTTGGCACACAGGAGCTTAAAATAGAAGTTTATTAAATTGAATTCAGGACACAGTATCTAAAAGAAAATAAAGTATATTTTAAATATTGACATAAATGAATTAACAAGCATTTCAGAAAATATATTCTGTTTTAATGTCTGCAAACCTAAAAAGTCATTTGCTCATTTATTCATTCTTTTTCCATAACCACTAACAAAGGATGCTTATTTCCTACTCAAATGGCCTCTTTCAGGTTTGTTCACAGGCACACTGGGACTACCTAATCCTGTAACTATATCTGCCTGATATTACTGGTGGAATGACTATTTTTAAGTAAAAAAAAAAATAAATAAATTATGAAATCATTGGTTAAATTTGTTATGTTTTATGTAGCACTTTTAGGATTTCAAAAATAACTTAGTTCAATTCTTTATAGAAATACATGTTTTTTCTTAGCAAAAGGGATTCTCTATGTTGCCCTGGCTAGAGGGCAGTGGCAATTTATAGGCATGATCATAGCTCACTGCAGCCTTAACTCCTGGCCTCAAGCACTCCTCCTGCTTCTATTGAGTAGCTGGAACTGCAGACATTTGCCACTGTGTCTGGCTAGAAAAATATATTTTTCAATGAAAAAGTTATTCCTAGGGAATATGTTATTTACAAACATACCAGATATACTTTATATCACATATTCTCAACTATATATAGTCCACCTTTTTTTACCCATGACTTATTTGTAAAACTGACTGAATTAATGTCTGTATAAAAGGTAATTGTTAAAATGGTCATTCAAATTGGCATGACTCAAAAAATTTACACAATTTCAAATGGATATAATTACAGTTATACGGTATGAATACATATGCTGGTTTAAAACTTATAAACTGATTAACGGTTCCCATAGATCACAAATTATTTAATCTATATTGATGTGTAGATTATTTTATTCTTGGCATTTTTAATAGCCTTTTTTCAAAATTCTTCATCCTTACTGCCTAGTCCCTTACTTATTTTAGCCTATAAAATAGCATTAAGTGAAGCTCCATTATTACCAGCCCATTATAATTGAAAAAAATTTAAATTGCCTGTTTTCTTTAAAACTTATTTATGTGATATACACATTTTATCATTTACAAGATTACATACACACATATGTAGGAAAGGTATTCTAGAAAAATTTTCATTCCTTTCTTAAAAGTAACATGATAAACATGACCTACTTCATATACTCAACAAACACAGATGTTTATTCATTTTAATAGAATATGATAATGAATTAAAAGTATAATTCTAGTTTAAGATATATATCTCAGAAGCAGTTTGATGAGAACACAAGCAGAATAAAATGAGAATTTCAGAAAAATAAAATCACAGAGTACAAAGCAAAAACATTCAAAGAAGTAAATAGCCTGTTACACAAAGAAAGGAAGTTTTAACTCTTCATATAATTTTTTGTCAGAAAATACATGTTTAATGAATAAATGTTAATATAAAATGTCAAATTCAAACTCTAATATGTGGCACATTCTAAAAGAATAAAATATGTTCAGATAAATTCTTTCAGATTTAAATTTGAAGATATACTAGAAGAAGCAATGTTAAAATATCAAGAACGTGATGAATGTGAAAAATAAAATTTCTTTAGAAAAGCTAACTCAATGTTATCTGAAAACATTTGCCTCTATTATAGAATACTTTGTTTAAATAGACAAAAATCTAAGTAAAACTCTTCACCAACCACGTTTTTTATTTTAGCTTAATAAGAAAACAAGAAGTAGAAATACATTGCAATGTGAAAATGATACAAAATATATCAAAACATATAAAAAGTCAAGTATAATCATAGTTAAATGTTGGTACCTGAAAAACTGTATTTTGTAAATTATACATCCTTAAATGCCCTCAAATACAACTACTTCCAGCTAACGAAAACTTAATCACAATGTATCTTTTTGTCAAGTTCAAAAAAACATAATACTTTAGAAGACATTCTTTCCATTAAAACCAAATTAATACTTGTAAAATCCACTGATGTTATAATACTCTAACATCATTTTTGTGCACAAATACTCAATGAGGCTATCAAGTATAACATACATACACAGCATATATGAGCTTACACATATTAATGTCTTTCTAAAGAAAATATATTGGAGGTATGATAATGTTACTATGTACAAATATACTATTAAAAAAAATTGCTAATTTGGAAGAAAGCAAGGATGTTCACATACCATACCACTGATAACCAATTCTAATTGTATTTTAATTTTTTCTATGGGATTTCAGTTATGTACAAAAATTTATAATCAATACACTAAAAATCCAGTGTTCTTTAATTACTATGAGACCCTAAAAACTTAACAAAGATAACAATTTTAAAAAGACACTTACACTTACCCCATTTAATGGATACGTCTTCCATCCTAGCTCTCCCAGCACAGTTGTTGTATCAAGCAACACAACTAGAATTAAATACATAGAAAAACTTTCATGAATTTCTCAACTGATGCAAAAATATATTAAAGTTATTTAAATCATTAAAGTGAAATACTCTTACTCTTATAGACTGAATTAGCTTTAAGTAATTTCATTATTTACTTTTTAAATTATTTATATATTAAATATTATTATATAATACTAAACAATGATAAAATACATAAAGTAGTTGTAAGTTAATTTTAAAACACATAGACTTGTGTTTAACAATGCTAAATGAAACAAATAATTGAATAACAGAATTACCAAAGTCATTTTTAATAGCAGATTTTTAAAACTGATGAAGAAAATACCTTGGATTTTTTTCCCCAAACTCTCACATATAGTCTTTTTACATCATATTAAAGAAAGAAAAAACTATATTAAAGCAGGCTTCTATATGTTCTTTTTGTTATTATTAATAATTGGACTTATATAATGAGCAAAGTATGAAAACAAAGCTAATTTTGAATAAACCTACTATCTGTAAAGCACAGACTACATAATTATTATAATAAATACTATGTAGTATACTTATTGATATGAGATGCAAAGACAAAAATAAAAATCATGTTTTTTTTTCCCCTGAAGAAAAGTAATTCATAATCCGGTCAAAAAGGCATACATGTAAACCAGTAAGAATATATTCTGTTAAATTATAAAATAGAAGACTATACAACACTCTAGCAATTAAGTTGGCTAAGGTTGGAAAGGCAGGTCTGGAAGAACTTCACAATTTGAGATTTCACAATTTCAGAGATGGATCTGAGCTAGGCTATGATGAGAGGGACTTCAATCAGATGAGATATGAAATAAATAATTTTTTTTCTTTTAGAATACTTTTTATAAAGTCACTGAGATATGATTAAATCAGTTCTCAGTTGCTGGGGTTGAGACTAGGAGTAGGGGTTATTTTGGGGATGTGAGATGATATAATTGATGCTGGAAGACAGATGGAAATCAACTGAGGACGTATTGTGCAGTGTTTACAGCAGGTAAACGTATAGCACTCATGATTTAGCAGTTCTTTACTTTTAACAATTACCTACCCAGATGCCAGTGGTCCATGCACCACACTCAGAAACAATGCTTTGGTACCCTGTCATTAGTTTTGGTTTTTCACTTTGTAAAGGAAGTGGGGTTTTTTATTTGTAGCTTTAAGAAATGTCATTGTGAACATGTAATTTGCCATATGCTGTTAGTGTGTATTATAAGGATTCTATGGCTTTTCTTAGTTGAATCACTGTGAAAAATTTTATTGTTATATGTTTAAATATGAAACTATCCTTAAATTTCTCAGATAAACTCTACTTACTGTAGAATATTCTTTTAATATTGTTAAAATCTATTAACTAAACATACATTTCTAAAACTAAGCTATAATTTTTAATTAATTTTTATTGTGGAAAATTCTCAAAAATATTTTTTAAAGTAGAGAAAATAATGGACCCTGATGCATTCATCACTCAGCTTTAATAATTATCAATATATGGCCAATCTTGTGTCATCCATACTTTTTTACCTACTCCCCCACTGCAAGTTTTGTTTGAAATAAATTCCAGTAATCATTCATCAGTAGAAACTTAGGCATGTATTTCTAAAATAAAAATTCTCTTAATATAACTAAAATATATTAATTTATCAATATAAACAGTAATTCCTAATATCATCAAATATTTAGTCAGTGTGCAATATTAGTTATAGGCTGGATTTATTTTAACAGGAAACCAAGACCCAAATAAGTCGTATACATCACAATGAGTTGGCATTCCTCTTTATGTGTTTTCTCAATCTAAATATTCCTTCACTTTTTTTCAGTTGGACTTATTGAGGTATGTTTTACTTACAATAACATCTGCCACAAACCTTCCTAGAAAATTCCTGTCCTACCAATCCTCTGGCAGCCACTAACCTGATTTCTGTCCCTATAGTTTTGCCTTGTCCAGAATGTCAAATGAATAAAATCAAATAGTATATAAGCCTTTTTTAGTCTGGTTCATTTCACTTAGCATAATGGATTTGGGATCCATCTATGTTAATACATGTTTCAACAGTCCAGTTCCTTTGTATTGCTTAAAAGTATTCCACTGTATGAAATTCCCTAGTTGATGTACATGTGGGCTATTTACAGTTACGAACATTATATATAAAACCACTATAAACTTTCAGGTACACATTTTAATATGAACCTATGCTTTCATATCTCCAGGGTAAATAGCTAGAAAGAGGATTACTGGCTTTTATGGAAAAAGTTCATTTTTGTTTAAGAAACTATCAAAATTAGTTCCAAAATGGCTGTGAAATTTATATTCCCAATAGCAGAATATATGGTTTTCCACTTTTCCACGTATCAGGACTTAGTATTGTTCAGTTTTTTAAAGGCATTCTAGCAGATGTGCAACAGTACCTCATTGTTGTTTTAATATGCACTTGCTTAATGACTAACCAGGTATCTTTTTCACCACTTGAAACAAAATTACTAAAAACATAGGCTGTTTTATACTACATTCTAGATTTTCCTAATTGATAATGAGATATTAAACATTCTCCTCCATTTCCTGTATTTTCTTTAAACTGTTAGATGTATCTAGTGATTTGATTAGATTCAGGTTCCATTTAGTTTTATTTTTATAATAAATAAGATGACTCCATTGGTGGTGTTTCCTAGTCCTTATAACCAGAAAATAGGAATGATATAATGTTTACTGGAGACATGTTAAAGTAACTGGGACCTAGCTTGCATAGGCTTTCACTGGCAAAACACAGATAATCTGATCATACACAAGGTTAATGACTGTAAGGGACTGAAATATACTTAAATCTATACACTCATAAAATATGCCTATTATTAATTTACATAGAATTTTGGAGAAGCATTATTTTTAAAACTGGCAAATAAACTGAAAATAAAACATTTAACTTTAATTTTTCTATATGAACTTCTGAATAGTGAAATAGTTAATGACAGGACATTCTTTTTATTGAAATACTCCAGTTAATAAATGAAGAAGAAATGATCAAATTAGGCTATACCACTTGCCATTCCTAATGAATATATTTAGCTAAGGTTTTCCCATAGTTGTTATCATCACAAAAAAATACAAAAGAAAGGAGACATACAAGGATAGAGCTTTTAAAAAGTCTTTTTTTTACAGTTTAATTTACTCCATATTAACATACAATTCTAATAAAACAGGAAGTAACAGAAGTAATAGAATATACACTAAGATTGAAATACATCCACAGTGACATCTGGGTTCACTCAGCGTAACAAAAATAATTTCACATATTAGAGAAAAAGATGAATATATCAAAGATTGAAAACTATAAAGCTTATCTTAGTATCAAACAAAAGATTTTTTTTAATTTCAGAATATTATGGGAGTACAAACGTTACAGTTATATACATTGCCCTTGTCTCCCCTCCCCCCTCGAGGCAGAGCTTCAAGCGTGCCCATCCCCCAGATGGTGTGCATCACACCATGTATGTATATATCCATCCACTCCTCCCCTCTCCCACCTGCCCCACACCCAACAAATGTTTGTTTTTCTTTTTTAACATTTTGTTTACATTTTATATCTTTGCCTCTCCCTAGCAAGGGTTAGAGGTATGCCCTTCCCCTCCACTATGTTCACCACATCCCTCAGATGTGGGATTATTAAAATTTAGTATATGTTTACAATGGAATATTACTCAATTCTAAGAAATGACAGCGAGCTATCACCGCTTATATTATCCTGGATTAAGCTTAATCCCATTATCCAAAGTGAGGTGACACAAGATCAGAATAATGGGCTCCATATATACTCTCCATCAAATTGGTACTCACTGATTAACACTATGAGCGCAAAGGGTGGTGGTGTTCACCAGGGATTCAGGGGTTAGAGGGGTAGTCCCACAAAAGATATTTTTATTTGTAGGATATATTATTCAAAAGAATTCAGGTATACATAACATTGGTATCTACTTTTGGGTACTCAAAATTTAATTTTACTCATCTAGCACATTTATATTTTTAAATGCTTTATTATTTCCCTAGCAGACTGGGAAAATAATGATACTAATTTACAGTCACTATAATAAGGACTATATATACTCTCTTATTCTAGTGGTCTCCAAATTGTCCTACAATGATATTTTTCCTTATTTTAAATAAATCTTTAATTTTTAATCACCATTCTTCAATGATCTGATCAACTATGTAAAGAATAATTTTCCTTCATTTAGACAAAGATCTAAATTCTCTTTTATGTTATTGCTATCTATAGAGTATAGTCAACATTATCAATTGTTCATGACCCTATCTCTCTTTTTAACATTTTTATTAAAGTATAATTGATACACAACTGCACATATTTAATGTATATAATTTTATGAGGTTGAACATACACAGACACCCATGAAAATATAACCACAATCGAGATAACAAATGTATATACTACCTCCAAAAGTTCCTCCTGCTCCTTGTTTTTTGTTTTTTCTTTTGTTTATTTGATTTTTGTAATGGGGGCTATTTTTGTATGTATGTGGCAGTGAGATAGGGAATCACAGACACTGCTTAACATAGAATCAAAAGCCCTTAACCAGCCTGATCAAAATCACCAGAACAAGTTAAGACCAGTGGAAATGAAGATAGCAAAGAAATTAGAAGTTGCTTGACCTTACAACTTGTTATAATATATTAGCATGCTAAAACAAACTCCATGGATACCATGACAGATCTTTGCAAAATAAAATAAAGGGGAAGGATCCTAGTTTTAGGAAATCACCACCCCTTTCCAAGAAATAACATGAATATTCCTCCTTGCTTAGCCTATGATTAAGCCAGTGCTTAAAGTACAAAATAACAATAAAAAAAACAAAGGTCCAGCTCTCCTTGGCAGGGAGAAATAGCCTCTACTCTGTCTGTGGAGTAGATCTATATTTCCTAAATAAAACTTACTTTCACTTTACACTGTCAGCTTGCTCTTAAATTCTTTCTCACAT